GATACCAAACTTATTTACATAAGTTCATGAAATACTAGTTCAATAAAATTTTGAATGCGAGTCAACAAACGAGATGACATGGCCTTTCACCTGTGACCCGACTCGAAATGGTTAATTACTGGTTTTGGTCTTTTCCTACATTCTTATAAATGTTTTAGTTTATAAAGCCTTAAATTTTATTTTTGTTTTGATTTTAAAAACTGATTTCAATTTCACTGTTTATGATCACTGGCATACAATACAAATATTTATTTTACCATTCCAATATTATATAATCAAGACAACTGTGTTCTTTTTGTTGTTTTTTAATTCTGAATCACATGTTTCATTTGGTATATCTAATAAGTTTTAAATATGTTTTGATATTTACTTTTATACATAATATTTTTATACATACTTTATTTGTAATTTTTGAGCCCATTTAACCCTATCGCTACTGGTGTCCTTTAATGTGCATGACACAAGGTTTCTGTCTTACATTCAAAATTAAACTACATTTTGTTTGTTATACCAATTAGTATAGCATAAGATCATAGCTAATAATCCATATTTTAATAGTATTTAAGTTCTTAATTCTATAAGGCAATATTTGAAAAAATCCAGAATTTCCACTGGTGTGACACATTTTCTCTAGATATCTTGTCTTCTCTATTTTATATGCCACCCCACCAAAAAATATGAAATGAAATGTAAATTACTCACTATAAAATCGTCATTGCTCAGACAAACCATAATTTTTAATAGCCCTCAATTTTGTTTGGTTACAGAGCTATCAAATAGAAAATCAGTCTTCTCCTGCTGCATCCCACCTCTCGCATCCTCTCTTTCAGGATTTGTTAATAGTTCTGTCTTGCATTTAATTATACAGTAGCTATAACCAAAAGAAAGCCAGGTTTTCATCTATCAAATGACATATTACATTGTGTTCTGAACAGATAATTGTTAATTTCACTTGTAATACAACTTTGGTTCCCACGGGAAAGGTAACGACTAGCTTGGATGAGTTTGTAATGAATTGTTGCATAGTTAGAAAGCCAGACAAAGTTTGATTGTTAGAGGAAATTGTCTGCTTTTTGCATATTATCAATCTTTGTTCTTTGGTATATTATTTAATCAAATAAAAATTATTTGATGCACTACTATCACTAGTATAAGAAAGGTATTAAGTATCACTGATAGTCGACAGCAGAAAAAAAGAATACTCAGGTAAGTAGTTTATTTCTTGTTTTTCATGTTTATTCTCTATTTATTGTTATAGAAGTAAAATGTTAAAATAGGTTAGATTAGGTAAAATAAACAATAATGATAAAATAATAATAATGTTTCACGAGGCACCCATGTGAGCAGCTCAGATTAGCTCGTGGGTAATGTAATTTGATAACGTAACATAAAGCTGCACATTCCCCATGTGATTTACAACTCATAATGGTGCAAATGGTGATTAGACACGGTTCAAAGGACAATAAAATTTAATTATAAATTGTTTAAGAGTTTAAAGCTACTTAGGATAAATGAATGTAGTTTCATGCTACATTTGAAGTCATTTTAGAAAGAAAAAGAGGGTAATTTAGATTTATTTCTATTTTATTTTGGATGGTTAGATGGTCAGTTAAACTGAATAACCTTGTATAGTTAGGGTAGTGAAAATTACATATAAAATATAAAGTTTTACTGAAAATAAACATTTGAAATCTATTTAGGAAGCTTTTGAGATGAAGAAAAGTATTTTTTAATACAAACATGAAAATCACTTGGCACACAGACTATTCAAAACAAATACTCGATATATTGAAGGACAAATCTTTTTTTAGTTTATTAAAAATACTTCACTAAAAAATAAGATCCTTTTTTGTACGTGAAAGTCTTGTAATGTTTATTGAAAGACTGCCAAATTTAGTGAAGATATATACACTGTTAAAAGTTTCAAATCTATAAAGACTTTGAATATGTACAGAGAGGTCACGTGGTTCGTCAAATTGATCGAGCTCATGTTGAGCGTTAAGCAGTTACTTTGGCCAATTAGGTCTAATGCAAACAAAGCCTAACATAGAGGTCTTGTCAGCAAAGTGAAATGATACAGTTGAATGCAGAATAATTTAAGCCTACTTCATCTTGTTCCACAAAAGATGTTTCTAAATATAATACAACATCGTAACTCAAAGTATAGAATATAGTCTTAAAAAAATTAAAAAGTGGAACTATAATTGTGACAGAAGTTTTTCACAAACTTTTTTCTGATAGGAATATATCACAAAGCTTTTATCACTTCGTTTCAATACCTGAATGAATTTCCACTGAAGTACACTTGCATTCAAGTTACAAGGTCAAATTATTACTATTTTGTTCAAAACTATCATGACTTATCTCCAAGGGGTCTATGAATGCTGTATTATGTTCAGAAAAAATTTCAGGATATTCACAAATGTTAATGATTTCACTTAGAATATGTGAAATTAATTCAGAATCAGAATTTTAATATAAAAAATCATTGAATAAATTTCAACTGTAGTTTTTTTGTTGCTTTTATAATGTTTGAAAGAACTACTACAGATTAGTTTTGTATAATTTTTTTTTGTTCAATAGTGCAATTTTTGTCATTGAGGTGAGATGCAACTATCTAGGTGTGATAGTGTGTATAGTGTGATAAAGTTGTATTGATTGTGTTTTATATTCTTGATGAATAACAAGTTCTTTGCTCACTGTTGTCTTGAAATTTTGCATATTGAATATAATCTTTTTTAATTAATAGTTCCGATTTTAACAACTGTACTTGAAATTTCTTTTATAATAATAATATATTCGTAGATTGTATATGAACATGTCACTGAAGATGTGGGGCAAATTAAACTTCAGTTTTCATGAAATATGTTTGTGTGATTTCTTCTGTATGTTTTAAAGTTTGAACTAGAAATTAAAGTTTAAGTGGATTTTTTAAAATGTGTATGTAGTTATGTGGTTAATTTATAGAAAACTCTTTCTGTAGGTTTATTTATGAGACAGAGCAGTTTAATGGTGTTGGAGAATTGTTGGAAATATTAGGCAGGTAGGTAAAAGATCAGCTAGCTGGTGAAGATATTTTGTAAGTAAAAGTAATTGTGTAATATAGATAATGCATATTTACTTTTATTGTAATAGAACTTTTGGACTCAGTATAAAGCCATCATGAACTTTAATTTCATTTTTTGTAGAAAAAACCTTCATTTAGTTAGTTAAGAGAATTCTTTATGGCTATTTCTAGTGATTTAGACTTCCCAAAGAAAGAAACAATATATTAGAATTCTATGAAAGTTGAGCATAATCAAGTTCTGCTTTTAACAAAAATGTCTGTTCAATAGACGTAGACAGTAGTATGTATATTCCAGTTCAGTCTTATCTTAAGCCTTCATGTTGTGAAGAATTATTTTTTAACAATATAATAAACATTTTGCAGGCATGAGCATTTCATAATATTTCTAGTTAAAAGAAAGTATATTGATGTTCAAGAATGTTTTGTTTTTCTTATATAGCTAGTTACCGTACACTAACTTCTGTTATCTGCTGATGATAATAATAATATGTAAAATCTTCAATATTTTGGTGCAAATAATAGTGAACTATGAATATATAAAAGTTCTTATGACTAGCATAGGCAGAAGTCTGGTATGTTTAGATATGCTTTTCTGTATTACATGTAGAATAGGCAGATGTGAATGTAGCTTATCAAAAACAACTACTTTATAAAACTAAGTTCTGAACATAAAAAGAAACTTAATGCATTTTAGGTCTGCTCATCTGTCATTTTTGAATGAGGCATGGGTGAATGTATATAATCTAGATTTACTCTATAAACTTACCAGGGTATTTTCTCTTTTCTAACATTATTGCCTTAAAACAAACAAGGAAATTAGATTCAAGGAATTCTTCTTCATTGAAAAAAAAAATGTATGTATATATATGAGGTAAATATGCACCTCAGGATTGTTAAGGTACTGTTTATCTTTGCCATAGTCAGATAATTCCATGCTTAATCAAAGGTAGTGAGAATATAGCAATATCGAGTGCACGGGCATTTGATCTCTATATAAACAAGAGATTCAAGGATATTATTCATGGAAGAATTAGTGTTGTCACAAGTGAATTGAGAGAGAGAGAGAACTTGGTATTAAAGTTGATAAAAAACAGAAAAACTTAAAGAATAAGAAATGATGACAAAAAAAAACTGATCATATGTAGCAGTAGAGCTATTGCTTTGTAAAATAGAATTAAGTAGAATGGACAGTTAAGTGTATTCAAGCGTGATTGCTGGTAAATAAAATGTAAAAAAAAAATGACCAGATCAACAGACTGGAGAATGTAAAACATGGATGAGACTTGAAATACATTTTGGCTTCTTCAAAGCAGAAACATGTTTCTGTTCACAGAGGTCAGAAAGAATCTGCACAGCAGTAAAACTACAATCACAAAGCACTTTCTTGCTGTATTTGACAATTTAGAAAACAGGTATAATAATGCATAAATATCTGCTCTATGGGACAGCTGCTAGATTGTCTTCAATACACAAGGTAAGTTAAAATACAGTCAACAAGTTCCTTGACCAGACTAGATACAGAAAGGAACACCTCATATGTGTGTGTATAACCTATAATATTTTACCACAAGTTATTGCAAATTTTTATTAATGATTTTATTCATAACTGAAGTAAATTTTCAACATGCATATGATAAAACCTACAAAGTTAGATTTTTATAATAAATCTGTATTGTTTTATTTGGTTGTGCGTGATGTTATCATTTTATAAAGATACAAGTACCAAGAGTTCCTGTGCTTGGATAAAATGTAGAAATGTTACTTTTTGAAATAAGTCTCACTTCACGAAGTGTTAAAATATTTCAGGCCAATTAAGTCATTTTAATAGAGAATACTTAGTTTAAGGTTTTTTAGGTTAAGAAGGTTTTTTCGTATTTGTACGTTTATTTTTATTGAGGTTATACTCGTAGATGGTTATGATAAGTATATGGTGCAAAAAATGTATTTTAGTAGAGAATTTTGCTTCAGTGTTTATTTTATTTTTTCTATTTGTATTAAACTAAATGTATTACAAATGGTATTTTTATGTTTGTGAAAGAGATGAATTTGATTGTAGCATGTGTCTGGTTACAGCATCATTAATGGTTTTGCCTTACCACTGAAGGCAGAACATAAGCAGTTTCTGGTCAAAGTACTTATACCTCTTCACAAACCTAGGAGTCTAGGACTTTATCATGCACAGGTAAGTTAAAGATCACAGTCTGAGTAATGTGATGTTCATACATTCAGCAATAAGCTATCTAGCTGGTGTCTTTATGTATTCAACTTGTTTCTGTGATACTGTATGTGAAAGCAATGACCATTAAAATTAATATAATTATTTTCCTAATTTATGGCTTCATGCAAAAGTATAATTAAACAAAACCTTATCTTTTGATAAGTTGTGAGAAAGAAAAGTTGCCAACTCATACAGCTGACCTAAAGCTAAAACATATGGTAAATTCTGAAATAGCCAGGAAATAAAAACTTAATGTATTTGCCATACTGCCTTAGTACACTCTTTCACATTACCATAAAACAATCTCAATTCTGTTTAGTCATTCTTTTACATATCATGGTAGTTTAATCAATATTCGGGTTTAATTTTAATAAAATGGTTAAAAATTTGGTGAAAAACAGACTTTCTTGCCAAAAATCTATCAGTAACATGCAAATTTAGTGCCATATTTAATAATTTTTTGCTGTTTTAAGAAGTTTTAAATTTTTATGTATCAAACATTCCTTTTGTTTACTACGTTCATCTTATACACACAAACTCGCACAATACAGAGCATTGTTGATTTTTTTTAGTCTCTTATAATTTATTACAGTTGGTAACAGAAAATCTAGTTGATATTGTATTAAGATATTTTATCCTTTGCTTGTGAAAGATTGAGATTATTTAAGTACATGTATTTCTCAGAATATAGTTAAAAGGTAATGGGAATTTAAGATATAGCTTTGACAAGGCAAGCTTATTGTTGTAAAATGTCAATCACCCCCACCCTACAGTTCATTTGTATACATAACAGGCATCTAATGATTAGTAATGTTATCTGAAGTGCAAATGATTGGTTATTCATCCTGTCTAATATATATTAGTCTCACACAAACCTTGGTAAGACTAAAAAAAACACTAAAGAGTTTCATGAGTGTGAAGAGCTATGAAAAAAACAAAGCCATAATTTCTCACTAGCCGGGTTTACTTACAACTATTGGTAGCAGAATGTGCAACTTCATTAAAACCAATTGACAAACGGATGATGCAGGCTATCATTCATAACACAAGCAAACAGCCTCTGTCAAGTCATGATTGCTGAAATTGTGAGGTACATGTTCTGAGACTAAATCATATTTTTGCTGTTTCAATTACATACTATCAGTATAAAAACTGTTAGAAACAGACTTTTCAAGGCTGGCATGTATGCCAGAAATAGTAAGGTTGTTTTGCTCACAGTAAGGCATAAAGCAACTTGCCTCTAATGATTTTAAAATGTGGTGTGTCATTTTTCTAGATTAGTTGTTTTATCTTGCAGCCAGATAAAAAGAACATTCTCAGGGAGAAACTGAAACTTGATCCAATGCAATTTACTCAGAATGTGGTGCATATGGCAATGGTTGGCTAAGAATATGTAATGGTCATCATAGGAACCACATTCTATGACCCTTTGTGCTATCATAAGCTTTTATTAAGTCTAATTGCTGGCTTTATAGATGATAAGAAGGACCACCCCTGCAAGGCTAAATGGTCAGTATGTTTACAGTGGTTTTTACAGAATATAGGGGTGTTCTTGCTCACAAAGTTCAGTCTCAAAGTATATATGGGATTTTCCTGTGAGACATTTCACAGGTCATTGTGATTCCAGACACTAAAGATGCACTTGAAGTAGCTCTTTCAGAGGAGTTTTAGAGGATATCTAATTTTGATAATGTGCATTGGTGATGAACGTGGCATGTGTTGGTGTTTATGGTGCTCAACTTGCAGTCTTTGGGTTGTGAAATTAAAACTTGTCTCAGAACATGCTTGCCCTTTCAACCATGGGAATATTATAATGGGACAGTCTATATATTTGCTGGTAAAAGAGCAAGACCCAAAAGTTGGCAATAGATGGTGTTGACTAGCTACTTGCCCTTTAATTTATCTCTTCAAAATTAAAGTTGACTAGTGTACATAGCTTTTGAGTAGCTTTATACAAAAATTCAACACACAAACAAACACTGGTGCCGAGTTGTACATGCTGATAGTGAAAACAATATTCCAAAGTGAAATGTTATGAAATGTAAAGTCACCGTTGCATAATTAATGCTCATTTATGAGTGTATGTTAAATGACCAGTCATTTGCTTTAGTGCAAGTAATGAATTATCAGTTAGCAACTTTGCATTAAAATGAAATAAAGGGGTGATTATCATTTA